TTACAGATTTTTGGATTTCCATTCATTCATTGTTGCACTTTTCTCCCCTCCCAGCCCTCCTCCCTAGTACACTACCCTCTTGGAAAAGTAAAAGAAAAATTCTTCCTTGTTTTACAATCCCTCCCCCCAGGCAGCCTTCACTCTGGACTCCTGAATGAACCCAGTTTTAACTTTCACTTCTTGGTTCTGTAATCTTGGGCAAGCTAGCAAACATAGCTAAACCTGTTTCCTCATTTATAAAATGTGGTTAACAGTACTTCCAATAGCTTAAATGAGTTAGTGTAGAAATTAGATGAACATTATATGGAAATCAATGGTTAATAGTAACCCCCCTCTTTAAGTAATTGGCACTTCCATTAATATCATCATCAGGGACTAACGAGCAGTGCACTTGAAGCAACTGTCAGTGAGTATGTATTTGAACTTGAAGCTACCTAACTATTAGGTCTTCGTTATCAGTGTCAGAGCACCTGATAAAGCAACACCTTACAATTTTATCTTTGAGAAATTCTATTTTATGTAGAAAAAGGGAGGTGCAAAGGAAGAGGAAGTAGTGTAGCATCTTTTTACTGAGAATGACTTTAAAGTTGTTATTGTTGTCAGGTGCTGTCAAGTCAAGTACAACTGACAGTGACCCAGTGAACAACAGATCTGAACCCTGTCCTATCCTGTGCCATCCTCACCATCCCTGACACACTTCAACCCATTGCTGCCTATCACTGTGTCAATCCTGTGTCAGTCTCATTGAAGGTCCTCTCTTTCACTGATCCCTCCACCTTTCCAAGCATGATATCCCTTTCTAAGGAGCATTCTGGCTGCTCTTTTCCAAGATGTATCTGTTCTTTTGATAGTCCATGGGATATTTTTTAGTTCAAAAGCTCCCCAGCTCAAAGGCATCAGTTCTTCCTCTGTCGTCTTTATTCATTGTTCAGCTCTCAGATACATAGCAAGTGATTGAAAAGGCTATGACGCACTTTAGTCTTCAAACTGACATCACTCCTCCTCAGTAGTTTGGAGAGGTCCATGACAGGACTTGCCCAGAGCAGTATGTTTCCGGATTTCCTGATGCTGGTACCAAAGGTGTTGATTGGGGATCCAAACAAGATAAAATCATTAACAATTTCAGTATTTTCTCATCTATCATGATGTTGCCTGTTGGTGAACTGCTAAGGGTTTTTGTCTTCTTGATGTTCAGATACAATCCCTATTGAAGGCTGTAGTCTTTGCCCTTCTGCAGCAAGCGTTTCAAGTCCTCACATTCATCAGGCAAGGTCACATCATCAGCATAATGCAGGTTGTTGATGAGTCTTCCTCTGAACCTCATGCCACAACCTTCTTCATAGATTCTAGCTTCTCAAATGATTAGCTCAGCATAAGACAGATTTCTAAATTCTACTCTGGTAGAGATAGGTTTTGAGTGTTTGTTTCTATTTCCTGTAATAGTGACCCTGGAAAGGCCTCTGTCTCTCATCATGTACTCAAGATTCTTCCATTTCTCCTTCTTAATCTCAGTTTCAGCTTCTCTGGCAATCACAGGGGGGGACACCAGGAAACTCCATGATGGCTTAATACCGTTCATTGTCATGTTTCAGTAAGACCTTAAGTCTTAATGCTCATGTTATTTGTTCAACTGCATTATTTTCCTGTTTGTTTGGTGACTTTAGTGGGCTGCCAACCCAAATGTGGTGGTGGTGGTGGTGGTGGTGGTTATGTGCCACCAGGTTGACTACGACTCATAGTGACCCTATGCACAATAGTTCTGGACCCTTCCCTTTCTTAGCCAATCTCCCTGCCTTCCACACACCTACTCCCATTACCCCAATCACTGTGTCAGTCTATGCCATCCAGGGTCTTCCTCTCCTGCACTGATCCCCCGTCCTTCAAAGTATGATGTCCTTCTTCAAGGACTGGTACCTTCTGGCCACATGCCCAAAGTATGTGAGACAGAATTTTATAACCCTTGCTTCCAAGGAGCAATGTGGTTTCACACTCTCCAGGACAGACTTCTTTATTGTTTTGGCAACTCATGGTATATTTAATACATTTCTCCAGCACCACAGCTCAAAAACATCAATTGTTTTAATATCATCCTTAGTCATTATGCAATTCTTTGATGCATAGCAAGTAATTCAAAAGACCCTGACATAGGTCATATGCACCTTATTCTCTAGACTGACATTATTGCTCCTTAGCACTATGGGAAGGTCCCTGACACCAGATTTTCCTACTGCAGTTTGTCTTTTGATTTCCTGATTGCTGATGCCAAGAGTGCTGATTGTGGATCCAAGCAAGATGAAATTGTTAACAACTTCAGGCTTTTTTCTGTCCAACTGGCTTGTTGGTGAGAATCTTGGTTTTCTTGATGTTGAGATGCAATCCATACTGAAGACTGCTGTCCAGATAGCCCCATAATAGGAAGTAGAGTGCAGAGTTCAACTGATTAAAGAGTTGTATTTGGCAATCAAATATAAATTTTTTTTGCTTAACCTTACCCCCAAAATCTCACTGCCTCATCCTTTTTCTCTGGAATGGACCAGTAGACTTGAAACTCTGACATTTCAGTTAGCAGGCCACCATGTAACTTATTGTGATTCCTGAGATGCTGTTTATCTTTGTTTCCTTTATATTGCAAAAACATTTGACTGCATTGTAAACAATTTCCAGAGTACACAGTTGTGCATATGCAGAACCTATGCTTAGACCAAGAGGCAGGCAAGTGACCAGAACAGAAGGATACTGCATGGTTTAAATTAGGAAGATGTGTGTTTGGATTGCAGATATCTCTATTCTGTAAACCGAGCAAATTCAGGAAGGTGGACTGACTATACAGAGAAAAACAGAAACTCATGGCTGGAGAAAGACTCAGAGATGGGCTTCACTAAACAGATGACCCAGCCTTGCCTGCTGGGAGTAAAGAGGCAGGAAGCGCAAACTGATGAAGATCAGACTGCAGCTCCCTATGTATATATCATACCTGCACATAAAGAAAATTAAAAGCCAAAGGGGAAAAGATTGTAGTTGTCAGGGATAATTATACACCTACAATGATGACGACACATGGACCTCCTCTGATGGAACACCCAGAATCAAACTGACAACATTGTGCAAAAAGACAGTGGAGAAGTGCAACGTTACAGTCAGAAGGGGGCCCCCGGAGCTGACTGTGAAACAGCATCCCTTGTTTGTATTCATGTTCACCCTGAAGCTGAAGACAATGGAAATAAATCTATGCAAGCCAAAATATAAAATATCTCATTTAACTTTAGAAACCATCTCAAACTCGGACCTGAAGCACTGTACACTAATGGGCAGAAATCAAATGAGGTGTGGGGTCAGAAACATCATCCCTAAAGAAAGCGAAGGCTGTTGAAAAGAATGAAGAGACCAAAATGGATGTCAGAAGAGACTCTGAAACTTGCCCTTGAAATTCTTAAGAAAGCTGAACTGATGATTCCAGAGGGTAGCTTGAGAAGACAAAGCAAACTACAGTACCAAAATGTGCATTGGCATGAGGTCGGAAAGCCAGAAGAGAAGAATATGCTTGGTGTTTTGAAACTGAAAGAAATGAAGGGAGGGGGAAACCTTGAATTGCCATACTGGATTCTTTGGCGGACTGTGTAAGGAAAAAGAAGTGGGAAACAGGAGAGTTTACAATCAGCAATTTCTGCCAGAGTCTAGAGAGGTTTACAAACTCAGCCGTCTATGAAATAGAGAAACATCAGTTAATCGGTCACTTGTGATTGGTTATAAAAACCTTCTTTGATACAAGGTGACAACTTGTATCTTTATTGATACACACAATTCTAGTGTAGATGGCAGCCAACCTAAGGTTGAAAACACAGCAAAAAAAAAAACCAAAACCAAAGCTGAAACCTTCAGGAAAATTGTTAACCAATATAAGATAAAGAGGAGAGTCTATTTTCTTTGATCTGGAAGAAGGTGTCAGTTGAGGAGGGGGGGGCAGGGAATGGTTTCTATGTTAATGTGATGGCCTTTATGTTAAAGGCCTGTATTGTTTCTAAGATCAGATTCTGAAGTCTTAAGCATATGTTAATGAAATGTCGGGAGAAGGGGGTTGATTTTTTTCTCGAGTGAGTCTCACAAAGTTCTGACTGCTGTGGAGGTTTTAGAAGCTCAGAGAAAAGCATAAGAGTTGAGAGGGCATCCAGACTGACATCCGCAGGTTAAGATGCAGGCAGGCACCCGTTTCCGCAAATCACGTCCAGTCTTCCTTCAAGACCGTGTATCTCTCCATTTATATAACTCTTTCCTTTCACTCATAATTTGTGGGGTTTTTTGCATACAAGCCTTAAGTGAACTTTAATTATATTTACACCTAAATATTTCCATTTTCTTGAATGATTATTAGTGTGATTACATAGTTTTTATTTTAGTGATCACATATTCATTGCTAAAACTTTTACTTTCATATATTTTCATTCTAGGAGTTTTTGGTCAATTTTTTTTTTTAATTTCTCTGTGGACAATCATGTGATATGAAAATAGGGACAGCTTTCTCTCTTTTTTCCCCTCATCAGTGTGGCATTTCTTTCCTTTTCTTGTCTTCTTGCACCAGGTGGAAGTCCCAGTGCAGTATTAATAGAAGATTTGACAGCTTCTGCTGGGTAATTAGAGTTGTCACTTGGGCTTTTCAGTCACAGAAAGGCCGAGTGATACAGGAGTATGTGGTCAGGAAGGACTTGATGCAGAAGGGAGACCACTTCACATCGTTTGGCGCCTCTCCACTTACATCGTGTGGGCGTGGGCAAAACCTAGGCCCTGGACCCGAGTGTCACACTGCGAAAGGGAGGCAGTGTCACCGTGTGTCAGCTGAGGGCTGTTGTGAGGACTGAGGGAGCTAAGCTGGATGACGTGTGCAGTGCCTGACAAATCCTAATGTTCGCTACTGTCATTGCTGTTGGTGACTATGAAGGACACAGAGTATTTGTAAAGCACCTTTCTTAAAAATAAAATTGTTTGCTTTGCAGATTTTAAAAAAAATGGATTTGGCCAACCACGGACTTATTCTCCTGCAGCAGTTAAACGCTCAGCGCGAGTTCGGGTTCCTGTGTGACTGCACGGTTGCCATCGGCGATGTGTACTTCAAGGCACACAAATCAGTTCTCGCTTCCTTCTCCAATTACTTTAAGATGTTGTTTGTCCATCAGACCAGGTAACTGACGTGGTTGATAACAATCGAATGATTACCTTAAGATACAGACTTCTTCACGGCCTGTCCCTCTTTCCCTCAGCCTGGACTCCGAGCCCCTAAGTCCCTGTGGCCTCACTGCCCCCATTCCCTGTCCGCAGTGCTGCTGGACCTGGCGGCCCCTCCACATGTACTCGTAGTGTGACCCGCACATTGCGAGCACTGGTGGGGTGGGGTCCATCACATAGTCAGCTCCTAGTAACCTCAGTGGACCCGCCTGAATGAAGCCTCGGGGGCCCTTTCTCACTCTTCCAGCCCCAGCCCTATAAATATGCTCTTGGTTTTCGGAGTTTGTCCTTGTTTCCTGTTGTCATGAGCCTGGAGGCCCCTCTTTCCTGGCTGAAGGCACCCATCTTGGCTCAGTGTTTTCTCCCATCCCTCCTGCCTGAGGCCTGGCCTCCCTGCTATAAGGGAGTGCGCACTGCTGTCCGGGGTGTCACCTTTCACCCTGGCCTTTCACACTCTGCCCCCACCCCTCACCGCCCTGCTCGTGACCCACTGCTCCTCCCTTGACCCCGCTGCTCCTCTCATGACCCCACTCCTGTGACCCTCACTCCTCCCATGACCCCCGAAGCTCCTCCTGTGACCCTGCTGCTCTGCCCATGGCCCTCGCTCTTCCCGTGACCCCCACAGCTCCTCCTGTGACCCCGCAGTTCCTCCTGTGACCCCGCAGCTCCTCCCGTGACCCTGCTGTCTCCTTGGTCACGTGCTGCCTCCCCTTTCTCTCACTACACAAGTTCCCGAGGGGGCCCCCTGTGTCCACTCTTCTTCTCTCCGCCGAAGCCCTTCTCCCAAGGTCACTGCCCTCTTAGGCCTGTCCTCCTCATCTAGTGCTCCTTCCTCTGTAGGAAGCTGTGTCCTGTGTCTGCATAGCCGTGAGCCCCTGATCTTCAGCCCGCCCCATTCATGTGCCTTCCTCCAGCTTTAGCCCTTCGTCCTGGCATCTCCTCCCCCTCGCCCACTTGTGCCAGCTTTCTCGGCACCAGGAACTGAATGCCCTCCTTTCACCTCAGTGAGCATGCCTCGGGCAGAATCCAGGCCCTTCCCCAAATCCTCCACTTCCCTGTTCTCTTTGACACAACCTGGAAATCTCACCGTAAACACTGGCTCCCCTCGTCATCATGTCACTCATGTTTTCTTCAAAATCCTTTCCTTGTGGTCTGCACCTGCCTTTCTTGCTTCTACTCCTAATTATCCATTCTTCACATCACTTTGGGTAAAGAAGGCACCCTGGTGGCACAGTGGTTAATGCATCTGGCCGCAGAAGAGTAGGTGGCCTTTGAAACACCTTGGTAGACGTGATCCATCTTGTTTCATAAGCATATACCGCCTGGGAATCTCTAAGGAGCAGTCTTCACCATCTTAGAAGGTCGCCAGGGGTTGAAATCCACTGGGTGGTACTGGGCTTGGGCCTTGGGTGGGGTTTTGGGGGGAAGAGGGTATGTGGGTCATGTTTATTATTCCTAAGCCTTGCTCTGATTGTGTTATAACTTTGATCAGAAATCTAGTAGATCTCCATTCCCTCTATTAGAAACCTGGAGGTTTCTGGAATAAAGTTCCTGCACAGGCTCCTCTTTCTAATGTTGAAGTCCCAAAGACTTACCACATGGCCCAGCACCTTACTCTACCTTCCGTGCCCCTGAGCGGAGGGCTCCCCAGACTGGCTCACCTCACAACCCTTTCCACTGCCTCTAAGTTTCCATTTGCACATTGCCTCACCCCCCCCCCCCCCCCCCCCCCCCCGACACAGCAGGAGGACTGCCCCCTGTTGCCTTAGCTCCCTTTCTTTGCTGAATCTCTGTAGCATCTATACTTTCCTCCTCTGCTGTTGTCTTTTGTATCCTCAGCTCCCCCTCTCATCTGTCTGTGTCCTGAGGGTAGAGGTGGGGTTTCAGGAATCTGACAGATAACAGCCACCCTGTCAAAAGACAGGAGAAGACTGAGAGGGTGACGGGTGTCAGGCCAAGGAGAGGTTTACTTGTCTCCCGGGTTTACTCACTTCATTGTATTAGAGATTTCACAGCTGAGGAAAAGCAAGTTATATCAGAAAGCATCAACAATGTTAATAAATGTAAAAGAATGCAGTGTGATGGATTTTAATTAGATGCAGGAAATTTAAGTCCAGGGAAGTAAACAAATGCCTTCTTACAATGAAATGTGGCATTTGTAGAGCTCGAAGCCCACATTTAAGCTGTATTTTCTTCGCATTCCAAAAGTGGTACATGTCATCTGGGTCTCTGCCTGGTTCTACCTTCATATGCCAATTGGAACTCATTAAAGCAAGGCCAATAGAAGGTCACGGTCAGCCTCCCTGGGAGCAGAGACATGCTTTCAAGCCATGCCTGTGTGCCCGGGAACGCTCAGGCGCTGGGTCCTGGTGCCTGCTGCTCAGGAACAGACTGAAGCCGCAGGATTCCGCTTTACAGCCGCAGGTCCCACTAGATGACTCTGGGAATGCTGCTCTTGAGGAAACAGTTTAGTCAAACAGAGACTGCGGACTTGAAGCTCTCAGAAAGAGACCCACCAGGGCACACCCTTCTGACGATGTCGCATTGTACTTCAGAATCCTTCTTTCCAAAATTCTCTAACAGCGTCTTTTAATTCCAGGGTCTAGTGAAAAGGAGCCCTGGTGTGTTAAGCATTTGGTTGCTAACTCCAAGGTTGGCAGTTCAAATTCACTCAGGGGTTCATGGGAGAAAGACCTAGCAAACTGCTTCTGTAAAGACAGTGGCCCAGGAAACCCGATGAGAGGGTTCTGCTGTCACATGGGACAGTGAGTCAGAGTCAACTCAATAGCCCAGCAACAGTGGAGGAAAAACTACACGTGGAAGTGAAAGTGAATCTTTATTCAGGAGGGCTTTAAGGTGGATGAAAACATTTTTGTTTTCTCTGCATGAAAGTGCTTTCAAACAAAATCCTGAAAATCCTGCCTTGTAGGTGTGACCACATTGCAGGGAGTCATATCCTTCCCCAAAGAGCTGAGAACGCTCAGAGCTGGCCGAGTGAGCTGAGTGAACTCAGCTGGCTAGAAGTAAAAGCAGTGGAGGCTGGAGATGATGATTGTGTGCCATTTTAAAGTTACACTCAATTGTGTTGCTTGTGCATGTATGTATGTATGTGTGCACATATGTGTGCACTTGTGTTTCTGTGTTAAGGGAGGGGCCCTGAAATTGAAAGACATTGTCTGGACACTTCACTGGGCCTTGGGGCTTCCATGTCCCTTGCAGCTTTTCCACAGAAACTTCTGGTCCCCAGGAGTCCTTTCCCCTCCAGGCCTTGCTGACATATGTGGGTGTGAGCACCTAGCTCCTACCTTCCTTGGCCAACAGGTTCTTTGGGAGGAGAAGTGTTACTAGGACAGGTGTCACCTCCCCATTCACACCAGACAATGACGTGTACAACATTCATAAGCAGCAACACACACAAGAGGCAACTACTAAACTGACTAATGTTCTTACAGACGGGGCCCAGTCAGGTAATACCTTTCAACAAAACTCACTGGCCTCTAGTCTGAATCAATTCATAGCTGCCCCTCTAGACACACAGCTGACCCTCCTCACTCACAGCTGACCCTCCTCACGCACAGCTGACCCTCCTCAC